TACATATATATACATGTACATACATAACACACACTCACACACACATATATATATACACACCAATATGCTTATATTAACCTTACATGCATTTGCATGTATTACATAGATACATTGTACACTTATGTAAACATTTGTACAGATGCATGAATACCGCTGTTATTCCCTTGTACATATACTTATTCCTAAACATTAGCATTCACTCTGACATATGTAATAGGTGGGTCTTCAACGATTTTTTGAGTGACAGCAGTGACGGAGCATTGTGGAGATGTGAGGGCAGATCATTCCATACACTTACCCCCATGAATAACAATACATGTTTTGGATTGGTTTGAGCCTATAGTTGGGTGTTTTAATAGTGAGTTTGATCGGAGAGGATATCTTAAATCATTTCTGAACCGAAATAAGTTATTTTCGTATATCATTGATTACATTTTAAAAATGAAGAGAGCACAGAAGTAGGTATTTATATCTCTCAGCTTCAATAGTTTCAGTATAGAAAAATGCCTCCAGTGGGACTGTCAGATTTACCTAATCCAGCAATGGGTCGGCTAAAACTCGTTTTTTGGGCGTTACAGTTTCCCAAGATTATTACGGGTTTTAGCGTTGTTTCATTGACAGGCTCCCAAGACAGTATTGAGTATGTTAGATGTGGATAGTAGATGAACGAAAAATATATGCATTTACGGGCAGGCATTCATTGTGAGAAAAATCACCGGGAGTATGGTACAAGATTACACACTGTTTATTAATTTTTTTGACGAACGTTCGTATGACGTTTCCACGATAATTTCTCATCAATGATTACTCCGAGAAATTTAGTTTCGGTTTTTCCTTGACAAGGGTTTATGTTCTAATATTAAAGGCCAGAAGTGTAGGGGGAAGTTTCTTATTGCGGTTAAATATGACATAATGAGATTTAAAAATGTTTAGCGTTAGATTGTACTGCATGTGAAAGGATTGTACTGTATGTGAAAGAAATGAACTATATGTGAAAGAAATGAACTGTATGTGAAAGAAATGAACTGTATGTGAAAAGAATGTACTGCATGTGAAATGAATGTACTGCATGTGACAGGAATGCACTGTACGTGAAAGGAATGTACTGTATGTGAAAGAAATGAACTGTATGTGAAAGAAATGAACTGTATGTGAAAGAAATGAACTATATGTGAAAGAAATGAACTGTATGTGAAAGAAATGAACTGTATTTTAAAGAAATGACTGTAATGTGAAAGAAATGAACTGTATGCGAAAGAAATTAAATGTATGTGAAATGAATGAACTGTATGTGGAGAGAACGGTACTGTACTGTATGCGAAAGAAATTAAATGTATGTGAAAGAAAATGAACTGTATGTGGAGAGAACGGTACTGTACTGTATGCAAAAGAAAATCATGTATGAATGGCCATAAATAAAGTGATAGGTATAGTATAAACTTAATGCATAATGAAAGCGGATATGTATAATTTTTATGTAATATGAAAGTGGACAGGAATTTTCATTTCTATATAAAAAATATGTGATATGTACTAAATTTAAGTATAATTAAAGTATATATGAATATATTTCTATTCATGAATATGTGATATGTATAGATTGTATGTATTATGTAGCTTCATATGGAGAAATTCCATGATATAGTAAAATATATGTATAGATATACTGCATATAATGAATGTAAATGTAGGAAACTGAATGTATATTTGTGAACTGATGTACAATATGTACATTCATTTCAGTATGCATGTGAAGGATTGAATTATCTGTGAAAGGATTGTACTAATGTTAAAGGATTGTAACTGTCTGTGGAAGGATTGTACTTGGTCCGTGAAAGGATTGTATGTCTGTGAAAGGATTGTACTGTCTGTGAAAGGATTGTACTGTCATGTGAAAGTGTGTACGTCTGTGAAATGGATTGTCCTGTCTGTGAAAGGATTGTACTGTCTGTGAAAGGATTGTACTGCATGTACTGGATATACTGTATGTGAAAGGAGTGCGCTGTATATGAAAGGATTGTACTGTATGTGAAAGGAATGAACTGTATGTGAAAGGAATGAACTGTATGTGAAAGAATGAACTGTATGTGAAAGAATGAACTGCATGTGAAAGGATTGTACTGCATGTGAAAGGATTGTACTGTATGTGAAAGGAATGAACTGTATGTGAAAGGAATGTACTGTACGTGAAAGAAATGAACTGCATGTGAAAGAATGAACTGCATGTGAAAGAAATGAACTGCATGTGAAAGAAATGAACTGCATGTGAAAGAAATGAACTGCATGTGAAAGAAATGACTGCATGTGAAGAAATGAACTGCATGTGAAGAAATGAACTGCATGTGCAAGAAATGAACTGCAATGTGAAAGAAATGAACTGCAATGTGAAAGAAATGACTGCATGTGAAAGAAATGAACTGCATGTGAAAGAAATGAACTGCATGTGAAAGAAATGAACTGCATGTGAAAGAATGAACTGCATGTGCAAGAAATGAACTGCATGTGAAAGAATGAACTGCATGTGAAAGAAATGAACTGCATGTGAAAGAATGAACTGCATGTGAAAGAAATGAACTGGATGTGAAAGAATGAACTGCATGTGAAAGAATGAACTGTATGTGAAAGAATGAACTGTATGTGAAAGAATGAACTGTATGTGAAAGAATGAACTGTATGTGAAAGAATGAACTGTATGTGAAAGGAATGAACTGTATTTGAAAGGAATGAACTGTAGTAAAGGAAGGTTCTGTATTTTTTTCTTTGGTGTAATTGAAAATGTATATGAAACAATTCACATTTATTTATATTCCTCGAATAAACTATGGCGTATCAAAACTTCCCAATCATTACCAGGGGTGCCTTAAAAACCGGAAGTAAAGTAGTTTATTTTACCCTGGTATAAACCCCATAAAGGGTAAGCGTGAAAATTAGCGTAATTAAAATGACACGAAAACCAAAGAAAATGTCCAAAAATGGTCAAACTAAAGTACACAAACCACGAAAACCAAGGATAAAAACTATAAAGATACGATTACAAAGTGGGTGGAATCCGGCAGGTGGGAGAATGCCGTGACGGGAAAGTGTAGTTTGTCCACCCCAGGGAAGCGGGCGCAGGGGGAGGATGCCCGCCGTCGCGAGAGATAACGTCGCGCGTGGCGACTACCACACTACAATACTAATAAGCTTCATGACAGTGATATGCTGTCCGATGTCTCCATAACCGTTGTCACGGATCGCCTGCCTCTTCAATAACTCGGTCTGGTAAAAAAACTGTCTTGAGGATTAGCAGTGTTAGAGTCCCATGTGAAAGAAATGAACTGTATGTGAAAGGAATGAACTGTATGTGGAAGGAATGAACTGTATGTGAAAGGAATGAACTGTATGTGAAAGGAATGAACTGTATGTGAAAGGAATGAACTGTATGTGGAAGGAATGAACTGTATGTGGAAGGAATGAACTGTATGTGGAAGGAATGAACTGTATGTGAAAGAATGAACTGTATGTGGAAGGAATGAACTGTATGTGGAAGGAATGAACTGTATGGAAAGGAATGAACTGTATGTGAAAGGAATGAACTGTATGTGAAAGGAATGAACTGTATGTGAAGGAATGAACTGTATGTGAAGGAATGAACTGTATGTGAAGGAATGAACTGTATGTGAAAGGAATGAACTGTATGTGAAAGGAATGAACTGTATGTGAAAGAATGAACTGTATGTGAAAGGAATGAACTGTATGTGAAAGGAATGAACTGTATGTGAAAGGAATGAACTGTATGGTGAAATCCACAGCCCCCTGCCTCCGAGGAAGGCTTTTGAGCCAGAGGCTAGGACAAGGACAGTCTGATGTAAAAAAACCTACGACCGAGGGACCTCACTGTCACCGTCCCAGCTTGTAGCCTATGGCAGATGAACCACGGGTGTAAAGAGGTGGGGCCAGTCTGCGCACACTGCCACTCACCTAAAACTCCATTGCCGCAGGTTCGTTAGGACATGTCCACGTCCGCGGATGCCAACAACTATTCCAAGCCCTGCAGGGCAGCGATGGGAAAGGGGCGAAAACGGCAGGTGAAAGATGTCACTGGAAGCCGCAGTTCCAATCCTGCATGCAGGCGGTTCAGGATATTGGTCGTCTGATGTTGACCTGAGACGACAGCATCACCATGGCAACACACCTGAAGAACCAAGCAAGCCCTCTCAGGGACAGCATGCTTGCTCCACATGGAGAGGGGCCTAGAAAAAGCTCGTCTCACATCCCCCAGTTGGCTTGCCGCGGCCAACGGGCATCTTCTAAGCGGTCGCTACAACACCAAAGCAAGGAAGGTACGCCCACCTACAAGGGTGCAAAAACAAGAAAATAGCCTCCCTGTTGGAAGTCCAGGAACATGCTCGAAGCATTGACAGTAAAACCGACCAGAACGTCGCTTGCTCTGATAGCACACGAAACTGTCTAGGTTGGATGTCGACATTGCTGCCCTTAGCGAGGTCCGATTCCCAGGTGTATTTGTAGGCATCCTCCAGGAGGCATGGCGCGGTTACACCCTCTTCTGGTCAGGGAAACCTACAACAGAAAGGCGCTCTAAGGCGTTTAGTGCATGATCAGGACCTCCATCGCCTCCAAGCTGGAAAACCTTGCCAACCGGTCAACTCCAACCGCATCATGTCCATGCGCCTCCCTTGAAGAACGAACAGTATTCCACTCTCTTCAGTGTGTATGCCCCCGACTCTCCAAGCTGAACCTGCAGAAAAAGACAGGTTCTACTAGGAGCTCCAAGCCATATCCAAAGCATCCCTGCAGATGACCAAGGTAATAATCCTTGGTGATTTCAATGCAGAGTTGGGGTCAAGAGCTGTAGATGCCTGGAAGGAGTTCTTGGACAGACAGGGTGAAACTGCAATGACAATGGCGCTTGCTGTTGGAGTTTGCACTGAGCAACAAACGAATGGTTCATCACCAACACCATCTTCCAGCAAAAGGACAGATTGAACAACAAAACCTGGATGCATCCTCGGTCCAAACACTGGCACCTCATAGATTACATCCTAGTGCGCCCAAAAATGACCTCAAGGATGTCCTTCACACCAGAGTGATGCCCAGTGCAGAATGTCGCACGGACCATCGACTAGTGCGTTGCCAACTCAGGATGCAACTACACCCAAAACCAAGGAAGGGAGGGCCCCCAACTAAAAAGTTCGATCTCGAAGATTCAGTCAGCTGAAAGTGAAAGCTGATTCAGGCAGCCTACAGTCCAAGATGAGATCGTCGACAGGCCCAGCAAGACCCTCACATTGAAACACTCTGGGAATCAACTCAAAGACTGCCATCCTGCAAACATCCGAAGAAGTTTGGTTGTTAACACCAAGAGGAACCAAAGATGGTTCGATGAGAAACAACCAAGAGTACAGGAATACTTGCTGACAAAGAAAGAGGTCCTCTCATCAGGCCCACCTGGCTCAGCCATCATGTCCTGTGAAGAAAGCTGCCTTCCGTCTCATTTGCAGCAACCTCCAGCGCAAGCTTTGAGAGATCCAGAACAAGTGGTGGACTAACCTCGCAGAGAAAACCCAGCTTTGCGCAGACACTGGTGACTACGGAGGCTTCTATGAAGCCTTTAAGGCAGTATATGGTCCTACTCACCACGTCCAGAGTCCTTTGCGCAGTGCAGATGGACAGGCGCTCTTCACAGACAAGACTTCCATCCTGAACCGTTGGTCCGAGCACTTTCAGGTCCTCTTCAGCGCTGACCGCGTCGTCCAGGACTCAGCAGTTCTCCGCATTCCTCAGAAGCCAGTCATAGTGGAACTGGATGTGTAGTGACCCATACGGCGCCATGCGTGCCAGAGCAAGAATTGTTCGAGTCTCCCCTTGAAGAAACTGAGGAAAATATCCGCCCGGCCGCTCAGACGATGTTGCCGCCTTCAGTTTTTATTGTATTTTTATTATTTTTAATGTTTTTATTGTTAAATAAATATTCATGGTCTTAATGAAGAGGAACCGTTACCATTTTCTTTTTTCTTATTCTTTTGAGCACTCCCTTTTTACTTTAAAGCTAATTGAAGTTATTAATTTTAATATTTTCTTTTAAAACATCCTATTGGTAGCTTTTAATGGGGTTAAGGGGTTTTAACAACAAGGATGTAAGATTAAAAACAAGTTTTAATGGGCTAAGAACTGCCACGCCATCTAGGGAGGGGGGAGGTGTTTAGCTCGTTCCCGGGCTAGTTACTAGCCATTAGCTAAGATCCTTGCTGGGGGTCGGCTATATATAGCCCGGGGACCGAGCGGATCTCAGCAGGGGGTCTGGATAGTATGCTCGTCTTAGCGGCCGATGTATACCCGGCGGAAGCGAAGACGTTGCTTTGTTGTATTGTTCCCCTGCGGTCGTAAGGACGGTTTTATATGGCAGTAAGGTGGGGTATTTTAAACTTTTCTCCTTTTTTATAGTATTACAGAGTGCTCTTTTTATGGTGTTTTAGGTTCTATTTTTATTGTTTTATTTTGTGTATTTTTTTGAGTTCTGTAAGAGTTTTAGTGTTAACTTTCGTAAGTAATAAATGTATTTAAGATTCGCAAGTGAAATCCCTTTTTTTTTATTAAACCCTTTTTTATGAGACTACATGATACTTACTTGGCTACCTGGTGACAAGCAATTGACCACCTTCTATCAGCCCTTAAGGCTGACACGCACTCCCCTCGGGATTTAAACATTACCAACCAAACCCTTGTTGATTAGGTCATTTTTCCTTTTCTTACACACATGCTTTCCTTTCTTGCTGTCTTACACTCTTCTAGACGTCTTCTCATTTCAACACATAATTGTTCCTGGACGTACTAACCAGGTGGTGGCAGCGCTAATGACCTAATTAGCAAGGGGTTAATTAAGATCACTACAGATGAACTACCATCTATGGAAGAAGTTCAAAAGCCATAGAGCAGCTGAAGAGTGGCAAGGCAGCAGGAGTTGATAGGATACCACCAGAGATCTGGAAAGATGGGGGACCAACGCTACACAGCAAGCTCCACGAACTCCTTGTCTGTTGTTGGGAGCAGAGCAAGCTTCCAAGAGACCTCCGTGATGCAGTCATCATCACTTTATACAAGAACAAAGGAGAAAAGTCGAACTGCTCCAACTACCGGGGGATAACACTGCTCTCTATTGCGGGAAAAATCCTTGCCCGAGTGCTTCTGAACAGATTGGTACCCACCATCGCTGAAGGCCACCTCCCAGAAACCCAATGTGGATTCAGGACCAACAGGGGCACCACAGACATGGTGTTCGTCCTGAGGCAGCTCCAAGAGAAATGCTGGGAGCAGAACAAAGGCTGTACATGACGTCTGTGGACCTGATGAAGCGTTTGACACTGTGAGCAGGAAGGGGCTATGGATGATAATGGAACGCCTTGGCTGCCCCCCAAAGTTCCTCAGCATGATCATCCAACTGCATGACGATCAATGCGGCCAAGTCAGGTTGAACAGCGACCTCTCAGAGCCCTTCCCCATCGTCAATGGCGTGAAACAGGGTTGTGTCCTGGCACCTACTTGTTCAGCATCTTCTTCAGCATGATGCTCAAGCAGGCCACTGAGACCTTGAAGATGACGAAGCTGTATACATCCGCTATCGCCTTAACGGCAGTCTGTTCAACCTCAGGAGACTGCACGCCCACACAAAGACACTTGAGCAGCTGATCCGTGACCTCCTCTTCGCTGACGATGCTGCCCTCGTTGCCCACACCGAAAGAGCCTTGCAGCGCCTAACGTCTTGCTTTGCAGCGGCTGCCTAGCTCTTCGGACTTGAGGTCAGTTTTGAAAAGACAGAGGTCCTCCACCAGCCTGCACCCCGGGAAGAGTACCGCCCTCCTCACATCACTATTGGCGAAACTGAGCTGAAAGCAGTTCACCAGTTCACCTACCTGGGGTGTACCATCACATCAGATGCCAAGATCGACAGGGAAGTGGACAACAGACTAGCCAGGGTCAAACAGCGCTTTCGGCAGACTCTACAAGAGAGTCTGGAACAACAGACAACTGACAAAGGGTACGAAGATCAGCGTCAACAGAGCCGTCGTACTCACCACCCTGCTGTACGGCTCCGAGTCCTGGGTAACATACCGTCACCACCTACGACTCCTAGAGCGCTTCCACATCGCTGTCTCCGCACCATCCTCAACATCCATTGGAGTGACTACGTCACCAACGTTGAAGTTTTCGAACAGGCAGAGATCTCCAGCATTGAGGCTATGCTGCTGAAGTCGCAGCTTCGGTGGGCAGGGCACTCCCTCTAGAATGGAGGAACATCACCTGCCCAAGATAGCCCTGTACGGCGAACTCTCCACAGGCCACCGTGACAGAGGTGCACCGAAGAACGCTACAAGACTCCCTCAAGAAATCCCTCGGTGCTTGCCAAATTGACCACCGACAGTGGTCGACACTCGCTGCTGACCGCCAGGCCTGCGCCACACCGTTCACCAGGCCGTCGCCTCCTTCGAGGAGGAGAAACGCCGGACGAGGAAGGACAGGGAAGCCTCAGCAGCTGTACCAGACCAGACTTTTGACTGCAGTCGCTGCGGCTGTATATGCCTGTCCCGCATCGGTCTTGTCAGCCACCAGCGCGCATGCAGTCGACGTGGACAGCCCCTTTCATGATCTTCATTCGCGAAGCCAAGCCATGATGATGATGTGAAATGAATGAATTGGATGTGAAATGAATGAATTGTATGTGAAATGAATGAATTGTATGTGAAAGAATGAATTGTATGTGAAATGAATGAATTGTATGTGAAATGAAATGAATGAATTGTATGTGAAATGAAATGAATGAATTGTATGTGAAATGAAATGAATGAATTGTATGTGAACTGAATGAATTGTATGTGAAATGATGAATTGTATGTGAAATGAATGAATTGTATGTGAAATGAAGAATTGTATGTGAAATGAATGAATTGTATGTGAAATGAATGAATTGTAATGTGCCCCTGCCTGCCTTGTCTGTGCCCTGCCTGCCTTGTCTGTGCCTGCCTGCCTTGTCTGTGCCCTGCCTGCCTTGTCTGTGCCCTGCTGCCTTGTCTGTGCCCTGCCTGCCTTGTCTGTGCCCTGCTGCCTTGTCTGTGCCCTGCCTGCTTGTCTGTGCCCTGCTGCCTTGTCTGTGCCCTGCCTGCCTTGTCTTGCCCTGCCTGCCTTGTCTGTGCCCTGCCTGCCTTGTCTGTGCCCTGCCTGCTTGTCTGTGCCCTGCCTGCCTTGTCCTGTGCCCTGCCTGCCTTGTCTGTGCCCTGCCTGCCTTGTCTGTGCCCTGCCTGCCTTGTCTGTGCCCTGCTGCCTTGTCTGTGCCCTGCCTGCCTTGTCTGTGCCCTGCCGCCTTGTCTGTGCCCTGCCTGCCTTGTCTGTGCCCTGCCTGCCTTGTCCTGTGCCCTGCCTGCCTTGTCTGTGCCCTGCCTGCCTTGTCCTGTGCCCTGCCTGCTTGTCTGTGCCCTGCCTGCCTTGTCTGTGCCTGCCTGCCTTGTCTGTGCCCTGCTGCCTTGTCTGTGCCTGCCTGCCTTGTCTGTGCCTGCCTGCCTTGTCTGTGCCTGCCTGCCTTGTCTGTGCCTGCCTGCCTTGTCTGTGCCCTGCTGCCTTGTCTGTGCCCTGCTGCCTTGTCTGTGCCCTGCCTGCCTTGTCCTGTGCCCTGCCTGCCTTGTCCTGTGCCCTGCCTGCCTTGTCTGTGCCCTGCTGCCTTGTCTGTGCCCTGCTGCCTTGTCTGTGCCTGCCTGCCTTGTCTGTGCCTGCCTGCCTTGTCTGTGCCTGCCTGCCTTGTCTTGCCCTGCCTGCCTTGTCCTGTGCCCTGCCTGCTTGTCTGTGCCCTGCCTGCCTTGTCTGTGCCCTGCTGCCTTGTCTGTGCCTGCCTGCCTTGTCTGTGCCCTGCTGCCTTGTCTGTGCCTGCCTGCCTTGTCTGTGCCTGCCTGCCTTGTCTGTGCCCTGCCTGCCTTGTCTGTGCCCTGCTGCCTTGTCTGTGCCCTGCTGCCTTGTCTGTGCCTGCCTGCCTTGTCTGTGCCCTGCTGCCTTGTCTGTGCCTGCCTGCCTTGTCTGTGCCCTGCTGCCTTGTCTGTGCCCTGCCTGCTTGTCTGTGCCCTGCTGCCTTGTCTGTGCCCTGCTGCCTTGTCTGTGCCCTGCCTGCCTTGTCCTGTGCCCTGCCTGCTTGTCTGTGCCCTGCCTGCCTTGTCTGTGCCTGCCTGCCTTGTCTGTGCCCTGCCTGCCTTGTCCTGTGCCCTGCCTGCCTACCAATTCAACATTTATTTATCTTCCCGAATAATACTAATAAGCGTCATGACAGTGATATGCGGTGATGTCTCGATAACCGTTGTCACGTATCGACTGCCTCTTTATATTACTCTGTCTGGTAAACTGTCTGAGGATTGGCCAGCGTTACCGTGAGTCATGGTGTAGTTACATATATGGTAAGTATGTTGAGGAGCTGATGACATCGACTTGAGTGTATGTTGCAGTAGTTGTAATGGAGGCGGTCACAGTCTTCAAACAGATTACTGTTGTGCTACAGTGGTTTGGCAGTATTGATCCCAAACCTGTGTACGGCTCTTGAAAATCGGTAGCCGAGTATGTAATGTGATGGTCTCGGGTTGAAGCTGGTATAAGGATGCACATTCTTCTGTTGGATCTTCATTTGGGTGCGTAATTGTGTGGAGTAGACCAGCTGTGGGCGCTGGATATCGAGATACCGTTTCCGTGTGAGTAATAGCGTCCGATATACAGTCCGTAGTGGTAAACGCTAAAAATAGGTAGTTATAAATCCAGGAGAGTGACGGGGGAGAGAAACGGTACATGAATTGCAGTCGAGTACTGTCAAAGAGGGACCGAGGAAGATTCATGTTGACAAAGTTTCACAGGTAAATCTGGCCGAAGCCTTCGCATGTTGCCAAGCAAAGCGAGAGCTATGTACCACAACAAAAGAGTCATAGTCAAGCTATTCCAATGAACTACGCTAATCATGAGCAGAGTGTCTTGATGGTTTATACGAATATTCCTCAAGGGAACTCGGTCATTACACGTGAGCTGAAAGCTTAGGAGCTAAATACATCCCAAAGTCACGGGGGACAAGGGTGTTGTGTTTCAAAACAGGATATAACTGGTTATAACAATAAATTGTAGTTATGGCCATAATGAAGTGATAGTATATAAACTGAATGTTTATATAAGGAATTGGTGATGTGATGTAAGTTATTTGTATATATGTATAATGGAATGTGGTATGCGTTATTATATAGATTTGCAAATGAAAGCGTGATATGTATAAATTTTATTGTATAATGAAAGTGTGATATATATGAATTGTTTGGTATATAAGAAGTGTGCTATGTAAAATTTTATGTATAATGAAGTATGATATGAATTTTTATTTCTGTATAATGAATATGTGATATGTATAGATTTAAGTAAGATTGTATGCTTATATGGATAAATGCACTGATATATAATTAAGATTATTTATAAATTTTACTGACATATAATGTATGGAAACTTGAATGACTATTTGTGAATGAATGTAAAATATCTAAATTGAATCATAGCATGTGAAAAGGATTGAAGTGTCTGTGAAAGGATTGTACTGTTCTGTGAAAGGATTGTACTTGTCTGTGAAAGGATTGTACTGCCTGTGAAAGGATGTGACGGTCTGTGAAAGATGTACCATGTGAAAGGGACCTGCCCTGCAGGTGGAAAGGATGAGTACGGCATGTGAAAGGATTGTCCTATATGGAAAGGATTGTACTGTATTGAAGGATGTACTGTAGGTGAAAGGATTGTACTGTATGTGAAAGGATTGTACGTAGTGAAAGGGATGTTGTTTTTTTTTTTTTAATGTATGTGAAAGGATTGTACTGTATGTGAAAGGATATTGACTGTATGTGAAAGGAATGTACTGTATATGAAAGGACTGACTGGATGTGAAGGAATATTCTGTTATGTGAAAGGGAATATTCTGTACGTGACAGGAATGTTCTGTATGTGACAAGGGAATTGTACTGATATGAAAGATT